CTTTACTTAATGACCTTTTCACCTTTAGTTTATTTTATTAATCAAGATAAATTCTCCTCAAATGTTATGCTATTTTAGAACATCTGAAGCACTACTCTAAAAGTTTCTTTTTGCATCATTGTTTATCTCGTTTAATATCAGAAGTAAACATTTTTGTATATTTAAATGTACCATTTTATTCCATTATAAATATGACAAAATGTAATAAGGCTTAATAATTTATAAAAATTTATACATTTATAATTTTTCCAAATCTTGAAACTTTTTTTTAGATAGTAAATGCCAAAAAATAGCTGTTTAATTTTGTGAAATTCTTTTAAAACTCTTGGCGATCAAACTCAAAAAGGTAATAGGGTAATAGCCTTGCATTCTGTCGACCCTGGTTAAATGCTCAGCATACCCTGAGTCCCTGAGCATTGCTGAATGCAGCCCAAGAGTCGCCTGAATACCAGTGGTTGACCCAGGTTATCCCTGTCACTTTAGGGCCCAAACCCTGAGCACTATTCAGAAGTCCTCTATCTCCCCCAAATTAGCACTGTAGCACTGTCCTCCCATTGTTCATCAATTTGCTCAAGCGGACACCAGTAACATCTCACAACAAATTGTGAGACTTGTTACTGTGTTTGGCATATCTAATACGTCACAGGTAGCTTGCCAGGCTTTGCCATGTGGGCAAAATACTCGCATTAGCTTGTCAGGCTCTCCGAGAGGGGCGGAGGAATCAAACCCGGGTCAGCCATGTCAGCCACGTGCAAGGCAAACACCTTACCCACTGTGCTATTGCTCCAGCCCAAATTAAAAAATGAAAACCTCTTGAAAAGAGAACAGGAAAAATATAATGTAAACTCTTTTGTTTTCCTTCACAATGAGCAATGTATATAGCTTTGTAAGAAATAGTTGTTACTTTTAATTGAGCTGTATAATATCATTTTAATTTTTCTGCAATAAATAAGATATTGAAATTCTGAGTCTTGAAATCTGCCTCACAAAATTAAAGCTTAAGTTTTGAATTTATAGTGTCATCGAAATGAAATGAGCAAACATAGCTTTCAAACTGAAGAATAATTTGAATAATCTCTGGAGCTCCCTTAAAAAAGATCTCTTCAATTTTTTTTCAGGAGGCGACGCACTCAGGGTAGGGGTAGGGGCAACTCTGAATGCAGCTTGTAGGAGCACAGTGTTGGGTGGACATTCATTTTAGCCCACAGGCATCTCCTCAAGAACCCTTGATTGCTGTATTTAGCAAAATTTCATGTTCCTCATCTTTTGCCTTTAATATGTATTTTCATATAAAAGGCAAAATAAGTTTATTTCAAAAGTATGTTTGCTGCTTTCTTTCCTTTGTATGCTGGTTTCCAATAAAGTCTACATCTGCTTCACCTTTTCCTAAAAATTTTTACACTAATATTGCTTCCCTGGAAAGTGCTACAAGTACACCATATTCTTAAAGTGTATTTTTGGAAAAGCTTGTGGATAGTGTGGATTCACTTGAGTAGAATGTTAATTAGATCCAGTGCATTCACTTTTATTACAAGAAAGAATGCTGATTCCTTTTTAGCATGCTGACCATGCTTTATTCTGACAGGAGGTCTCCTTTCACTTTGCTCCTCAAGACCCAACATGTTACTTTGCTAACTTCAAAATGTTTGATAATCCATCTTTCTATTCAAAAACTAAAACACCCTAGGTGTGGCCTTCAAGGCTTTATCTAATCACTCATTAATATCTTTTCCAGCCTAATCCATTCCTCAGTTCTTGCTCCTTTGTACTTCAGCAACTGTCCACATTACTGAGCTTGATATATACACTGTGCCCTGTATCATTCATCATTTTCCATGTAATTAATTTTACACATTGCATGCTTCCTTGGACCTCTTCTCTCCACTTAGAATAGTCTCCTCCCCATTTCTGCCACCCTTTCCTCCTGCGTCCTTTCCCAGGTGAAATCCTAGACATTCCATAAGAGCAGTTAGGAGACATTTTTATGATGCGTAATTTTCATTCCTGCCCTCTAGTCTTCTCACATTGGACCTGATATGTGATTCGCTGCTCTAACTGGAGCTAACTATGCAATTAATTTGTGTTGTTTATTCCTCTGCAACATGCTGGTCTCCTTGAGGGCCAGTTGTTTATTGAATGAAATTATATAGCATAATGGCTAGTTCACAAATCCAGAAAATCTTTTTCAAACCTCATTTTCACCCTCGGATACTATTCTCTATCTGTTCTTTCTTTACCAGAAAATTTCTTGAAAGTGCTGCCAATTTCTTTCCTATATACCCTAACTCCAGTCAGATTTTACCTCCATCATTCTATCAAGCATCTTTACAGGGTCTCTAATGACAGCACATTACTAAATCCCCTGGTCAGTTAATCCATCCTCATATGATTGAACTTGCAATCAGTGTTTCTTACAATTTCCCACTACAGAAATCCCATTTTTTCTCATAGTCAAGTCCCTCATAAAATACTCTCCCTTCTCTGTTTCAGTCTATTCTTCTGATCTTTATTTTTTTTCCTTCAAATCTTTTAAGTGTTGTTTTCTAGATTTATCTAAATTATATTATCTTATTTTGTAACTTTACTGTTTATATGCTGATGAATCTCATAATTGTAGTACAGTTGATTTTTATTCTTGCTTGTAACAAAAATTCTGCTGTCAGCTTTCTCCCTATTTCTCACACTGGCTCATCTAGTCCGTCAGAATCTCCCTATCCCCATATCGATAAAATTCCACCATACCTATCCATACCTATCCATGAAAACTTTTACACAAAAATTATCTTTGTAGTCAGCACTATCAGTCTCTAACACCCAAAGTGAGTGAACATATCTCAAGTGAAAGAACACTGGATTTTAATTTCCATTTTATCTCTTTAATCTCAATTTTAATGTTTTAAAATGTATAGAATTTATTAGTAGAGAAATATCTAGAATTTATAAGTGGTTTTCTTGGGTGGAGCATGCTCAAGATTTTTATTGGTTGAGATGTGAGATTTTAAAAATACATGTAAAATGATTACTCTGAGCAGCTGGAGATGAGAGTTCCACTGGGGATCAAACCAGAGCCTCCTATACAAAACATGTATTCTGGGCTGTTGAGCTATCTAAGTTCCAAAATTGCTATTATTAATAACCCATCTTTACAAATGAGAATATAATTTCTCTTTACAACTATCCCATTAGGTAGTGTTGAATAGCATTAAGGCCCTCCCGTTGTTCATCGATTTGCTTGAGCGGGCCCAGTAACGTCTCCATTGGAGACTTTGTTGTTACTGTGTCTGGCATATCGAATACGTCACGGGGAACTTGCCAGGCTCTGCCGTGCGGGCGAGATACTCTCGGTAGCTTGCCGGGCTCGCCGAGAGGGGTGGAGGAATCGAACTCGGGTCGGCCATGTTGGCTGCGTGCAAGGCAAACGCCCTACCACTGTGCTATTGCTCCAGCCTGTTGAATAGCATAAAAACTGGAATCACTGAGTTAGGGGAAATAGTCTCTACCTCTTTGAATTAAAAATCAAAGGCAAGGTTTAAAACATTTTTATTTATTATTTATTTATTTATTTTGCTTATTGGGTCACATCCGGCGATGCACAGGGGTTATTCTTGGCTTATGCACTCAGGAATTGCTCCTGGTGGTCCTTGGGGACCATATGGGATGCTGGGAATCGAACCTGGGTCGGCTGCATGCAATGCAAACACCTTACCCGCTGTGCTATCGCTCCAGCCCCTAAAACATTTTAAAGAAGTGCAAGAATTTCATAATAAATAGATTTGATAAGAAATAATTTTTTAAAATTTAAAATTTAAAAATTGCATCTTTTCTAAGCAGCCAAATCTGTAATACATGTGATACCACCACCTACTCTATTATATCTATTACACATTAGATATAAAACCTGAAAATTATTCAGTAACATAACAGTATAAATTCTGCTTCAGGGAACCTGTGCCTACTCAGATGATTATTGTTTCAAGGGAATGAAAGGATAGATAAGCCATGAAAATTTAGAACTAAAAAAAGGTTATTTTTAGTTATCTTAACAAGAACAAGCTGTTTGGGATTGGTCATAAAGGATGCTTTCAGTTTAAACTGGAGAGTGGAAACCTTATAATTAATTTTTTTAAAAATAACTGCAAGAGCCAGTGCACCAAAACACTAAATGTGGAATAGAATATAAAACATTAGAAGAGAAAATGACTTCTGGAATACAATGAGAAAAGTTGGCTGTACTCAGAGTATGTTGACCCTATTTTCTTTAAAACAGAGTTTCAAATATATCAAACAAACAGAAGAAAAAATAAACTTTTGGGGGGGGAGTTAGGGATGGAGAGACAGGAACGTAGTAAATAAAAATGTCCTCTAAGAAAATATGAGAATATAGGCAAAAATGGAGAATAGCAGTTTTAATCTTAGTTTGGGAAGTAGTTGTAATAATCAGAACATGAGATAATAACTGAAATTGAGAAATAGAACTGAAAAAATATACTTTATATATGTCATGGCATTTTGTTTAAAGTATGACAATCTGGAGGGCATAATGAAATCAAGTCAAACTCAATCTAGTTTATAGTGCTTAATGACTGGTGTTGAAGAAGTTCTCTTTGAATACTAGGTGAATTGCCACTATTAATATTGCAGTGAAGCATAGACTATGACATTGACCTAGTAAAAGTTAAGTGTTTTGTAGCATGGTGGAAACTTTTATAAAACTTCATCGTTCTCCAGACTTTTTAATCCATATTTTTTTCTCATAATATTATAATATATTTCTTTATAATATTATTTTCCACTACAATTTATTGAAAGAATGGTCAGAAGCATATCCTGAATACTTTGTAATATGTACCCTAAAAATGTTCCCGCCCAATTTTACTGCATTATAACCCATCTAATGTTTGTGAACAGAATGTTTGTGCACAGAAATTATTTTAAAATATTTAATTATTCTTCGTCTGTAAATTAGGAAACCTAAAAGGTGTTTAAATTTTGTTTTGCAGTGATCGGCATGTTGGTAAAATTTATTCCAAGTCCTCTTCTTTTCCGGATTATGTCAGAAAGTCTTTAAAGAAGCTTGGATTAGATGAATCCAAGGTCAGTGCATAACCATCTATTATTTTTGTTAGAAACAGAATTTCTATGAGGTGATGACTTAGATAACACAAAATTATTTGCCTTCTAGCTTTCTTTTACTTGAGAAAAAAACATCTAAATTATATTAAAGGCAAGTCTTCAATCCCTTTGTTCCCTTCACCTTCCTATGACCTAACTATCACTATGTAGAGGTTGCTGTCATATACCTCCAAAAGTATTTCCCTTTTAGATTTCCTCAGGGGAAAAACAGTAAGCCAATTTAATATTCAAATCAAAATAGAGTTAATAAGATAGGTCACAGATAATAAAGCAATTTTCTCAAGTGAGAGACAATGGTTTTAATTTTAAACTGTACTTATTTAAAAATTGTATAATTAAAATGAAAAAGCTCCTTATGCTGAACAGTAGAATTTTGGAAAGTGGTAATAACATTGTAGGAGGTCCAAGCTAATAATCGAGCACATACTGTTAAAGACAAAAAACATAAGCTGGTTGACAAGCAGTAATAAATATTTTAACACTGATTAAAAAAAACTCTCAACATGAGTCAAACAAATTATTAAAATATTAAGTTTAGCTTGAAATTGCCCTAGTGATTTGAGTTGATTATGAATTGAAGTAAAAATAGATGGTTAAAGTCATGGAATGAATTTCTTGAAAGAGAAAAATAGAACATGTAGTTGAATTGTATCAATGGTTAAGGCTATTATTATCATTGTACTAATTTTCCATTTACTTCTTCCCATTTACTTGTTATTTAAAGTAACTGGGCTGCGGCTTTTGGCAGAAATGTGACTGAACTATGCATTAAGCTACAGCACTGTGCCCCACCGGTGGGAAAGGATGTTTGTCCCTTCTGACTTTCTCCCTCACAGCAGCATGGTGGCCGCCACCTCAGAGCCTATTGGACAGCCAGATATGAGCCAGTAGTGACGGGGCAACTGGGCCTCATGGGATGGGGGGTGGAACCAGCCCATCCTTCCTGCCCCACCAAGACCATGAGTTGCCCTCCACTAGCGGCGCTCTGGCTTGGCCATGGCCCCAGAGGCACATGGACCAAATTCAGAACCCAGCGTCTTTTGGCAGAAATCCCTCCAGACTTAATTAGTAAAATATCAGAAATCCAAAGTCGCACAGCCACAATATATCATATGCTCTTCATGACCAGCAATAGAAAACAAATTATTTAACAATGCCTTTTCAGTGGATCTGATTGTTGGGGGGAAATTCCAATAATAATTGTGCATCTTTTGTCAAAATAATGAACGTAATCAAAGTAGAGCGTTGAGTGGAAATCTCCTCACAGGCGGGGGGGGGGGGGGGGGGGGACAGGAGATATATTGTGGTTCTTGGTAGTAGAAAATGTGTATTGGTGAAGGGATGGGTATTTGATCATTGTATGACCGAGACTTAAACCTGAAAGCTTTGTAACTGTTCTCATGGTGAGTCAATAAATAAATAAAAATAATAAATAATAAAGTAACTGGGCTGTCACAAATCACTTCCTACACCCTCACAGTGTCCCATAGTAGAGAGATAGTACCGAAGGTAGAGTGCTTTGCTTTATTGATTGCTGACCCTGGTTTGATCTCTGGAACCGAATATAGCACTCTGCACCACGAGGAATAATCCCTGAGCACAGAGCCAGTAGTAAGTACTGAGCAATGCCAGGTACGGCCCCTGAACAAACAAAAAAAATTGAGTATAATTAAAAAGACGTTCTTCGGCCAGAAGGATAGTTCAGAGGTAAGGTGCATGCCTTGCATGCAGCCAGTCTAGTTCAAATCCCTGACACCACATATGATCCCCTGAGTGAAGCCAAGAGTGATCTCTGATATACTCTGAGCACAGTCAGGTGTCACCCAGATCCTGCCTCCTCAAAGAAAGTTGTTCCCTAATTGATAGGAAATATAAGAAAGATTCAGTGAGGCAATACAAGTAAAATATTGAACACAATAAATGGTAAGTAAATAGGGCTAGTTTTTATTGTGTTTTGTATATATACTAATCATAATAGCATTGTAGCACTGTCCTCTACTCTTGGTAGCTTGCCGGGCTCTCTGAGAGGGACAGAGGAATCAAACCCAGGTCGGCTGCATGCAAGGAGCTGGAGCAGTAGCACAGCGGGTAGGGCGTTTGCCTTGCACGCAGCTGACACGGGTTCGATTCCTCTGTCCCTCTCAAGCTACCGAGAGTATCCCACCCACACAGCAGAGCCTGCCAAGCTACCTGTGGCATAATCGATATGCCAAAAACAATAACAACAAGTCTCACAATGGAGACATTGGTGGTGCCCAGTTGAGCAAATTGATGAACAACAGGAGGACAGTGCTGCAGTGCTACTATTCATAATAGCACCATTGCTTTGACTTCTGTATTTTTATTTAGTCATCAAAATGAAGATTCTTCCAGGTTAGTATAAATAAGTCAGTAGAGAGTTATTGGGGCCAGAGAGATAGTAGAGATAGGATGTATACAATACCTGCCTCGCCAGAGATAGCTTGGGTTTTATCCCTAAGACTATATATGACTGTCCCTGAGCATAAACATGACTGATTCCTGAGCATGGAGCTAGGAATTTGTAAACCTTCAGCACTTCCAGGTGTGGTCCAAAAGCCAAAAAAAAATAGGAGTTAACCTATTAATATATCAAACTCATCCTCCTTCTAATGAGTCTCAAATAGAATGTCTCTTTATTGTATGTCTCAATTTTATGTCACTTTACTATCAGGAATACAAACTTAAGCATTATTTTTCACAAATGAAGAGCTGAAAATCCTTTGCCAAAAATCAAACAGTGAAAATCCAAAATGAATTTTACTTACCCTTTCAAAGGGCTTTATATTCACAGCAATATCTTTTTTGTTTTTGGACCACACCCTAACATGCTCAGGGGTTCCTTCTGACTCCAAGCTCAGAAATCATTCCTGGTGATGCTCAGGGGACCATATGGGATGCTGGGGATCAAACCTGGGTGACTGTATGCAAGGCAAAAGCCCTTCCTGCTGTATTAGTGCGCTGGCCTCTCTTAGTAATATCTTCAGTGAGAACTGTAGCAAATGTTCCTTAATATTACATGTTAGATTATTAATAAGGCTATACTTAAACCATATGTGATGGTTACTCTAGGAAGGATATCATAGTACTATCTCATAGTTTTTATACACACAAATACCATTGATAATTTCATTATTTCCAGTTTTATTATCTAGAAAATAAAATTCAGAAAAATTAACAAGTTGCTTTCCTAAAGTCAAAGAGCTAGTAAGTAATAGAGCTGGAACTTGATTCAAATAACATTGAACCCTCTAGTATTGATTATCACTAAACTAAAAAGTAAAATTTTAAATAAAAAGAAAAGAGAAGTATAGATATGTATCAGCATTAATACAATCTTAACCAATTCACTGTATTAACTAATAAAAATATAAGTGATGAATAATTTTGTCATACTATTATGTAAGCTCATTATAAACAAATAAATTGATAAAATAGGTTAGAAAGATAAAGAAGACTCTCAAGCTGAAAAACTTTAGGAATGGGGACATAGAACAATATAATAAGGTGCTTTTAATGGATGTGGTAGTGAAAGGAAATAAATATATATGATTTGGTGGGTTTCTTTTTATTATTATTATTAGCAATAATTGGGAGAGTTTTATTTATCAAACCAGAGTGTCTGGAAATTGGATGCTATGCCTGTGATCTGGTAGAAAGTCAGAATTTTACCATTTCTTTTCCACATCTTGACTATAATTGCTGAAATGAAAGTTCTAACCACAAGCACCTAAGAAAGTATTTGTGTGTAATTTCTTTTGCAAATGACATTTGCCCATGTTATCTAGCTACTGATCTCAGTACTTGGGATTCAGCCTCTTTTTGTTTTGTTTTGGATCTGCTCTCAACCATGCTTAGGGCTTACTTTGACTCTGAGCTCAAGGATCTTTTCTGTCAGTGTTGCGGGGAGGGGGGGTGGGTGGAGGGGTTGCTATATGTGCTGTGAAGTCAGTGGGATACAAGACAAGTGCCTTAACCTCTGTCTATCTCTCTGGATCCTTAAGTTATTTAAATGTAAAAATATAAAATACTAAAAATACTTTCAAGATTTTTGACTTAATTTGCAATCACTTATTTAAATACTTTTGCATATTATTGAAAGAACAGAAAGCTTGCTTATGGGTTCCTAATCTCTTGAAAGTATAAAGCTTTATGTTGAAAATTGTTTAAGCAAGTGAAATCCCAAGAAAATCTTAATTGATCTTTGGGTAACTTGTTAGTGACAAGAAATCATATTAATTATGTGGAAGTGGACAGATCATTCTCACCATTCCAATGAAGGCATGAACTGAAAGTGTAGAATGTATAAGTGCCTTCTCCAGAACATGAAAGATTAATCCATAGGACAGTCAGTGGTGAAATACAACATTGGACATTATCTGAAACTCAGCACTTTTTTTTAAGTCCAATAGATTATTTTTAAGTTTCAAATTTTATTTTATTTTAAGCACCATGATTTACAGTATTGTTAATGGCAGTGTTTCTTATATAAATCACTTCAGCACCACACCCTCCACCAGAATGCAGACATTCTTTGTTTTTTAAAAAAAGTTCAATAGATTTTTTTTTAATTTTAAAATTTTATTTTAAGCACCATGATTTACAGCTCTGTTAATGGTGTGGTTTCTTGTATAGATCATTCCAGCACCACACCCTCTGCCAGAGTGTCTGCTTCCCACAACCATTGTCCCAGTGTCCCCGCCAACCCCCACCTCAGCATGCTTCCTACTGAAGACTAGTCCTTGTTTGCTATAACCTTTGTGCATTCATAGCCCTACTATGTTTCTTTATATCTCACATGTGAAAGAGAGAACTCTTTTTCCTCTGACTAACTTCACTCAACATGATACTCTCCATATCCATCCTTGCAGCAGAACATTGCATGGTTTTATCTTTTTTTATAGCTAAATATTCCATTGTATATATCTAATATGTTTTCTTTT